CATTGCCTGATTGATTTGTTCTTTGGGCTATTTAATTTTTGGGGATCTTCCAGTTGTGCTTCATTCCTTGGGTTATTCGACTTGAGCTGAACTTTTTGTGTGTCAACACCTTTAGCTTAGATGATATATTTATCATCTTCATAACGTGCTCCCTAACACCACTTGTACCATCATATCTCATATTCATCAATTTGCCCATTAGATCCTTAGTTTCGATTTTATCAGACTCAATAAATTTTTCTCATATGGCATCATAAAACCTTTGACATTTTCATTATCTGGGATAGCACTCATAATGGAATCGGATATAGAGTGCTTAATAATTTTTAAATAAAATTTGTTGGCCCTTTCCCACTTTCATACTTGACAACATATAAAGAGTACTCTTATCTATGGGTTTCGAAAGCTTTTTCTCCATTGTAAAATTCAAGTCCAAAAGACCAAGTGCTATTTTTATGTTTCGTTTCCATCTCACATTATTATTTCTAGTCAATGTTTCAATAGAAGACAATTGACTCATAAAATATGAGGCATTGTAAACTGTGGAAACATAAAATATCATATTTATTATCATCCAAACATAATACATGTAGTCAACGGATGATAAAATATTCATTTAATTGACATGGACTATTAATTAGATAATTTGTAATTAAAACCAAAACCATATGAATCTTATTACAGTAAGAGCCTAAGTACATCATCATAAAGTCACCTTTGGGCTAATAATACAACATATTATAAGGTACTCTTAAAACACTTCGTGTAGCTAGTTAACAAAATCACATTGATTTTTGAAATACCAACACCTTTAAGCAGAAGGAGATTTATAGATCAAAATAAACTTTTTAAATGCCTTATGCCATTTTCCAAAACATCAAATATAAGAACTCCTTTGGGCAAGATACTATATGCAATAATTCAAAACTGTAGCGCAATTTTTTTTATTTTTATTTTTGTAGAGAAAACAAAATAAATAATAACGAGTGTGTTACTTTGGCTGCGACAACCAATTGTTATTTCAAAATATTTCCCTCAGTGAGAAAAATCTCAAAACCCATGAAAAATTCAACCACAAAACAATAATTATGTAAAAAAATCATAATCATTAATCGATGAAGGACAAAAATTCATATGTGATAGACAAAATTGACAACAAAGTCTCAATATATATGAAAAATGAAATTTAAGTGCACAAATAATAACAACATTTAAATATATAAACACGTTAACTAAAATATAAAAGTCATCAATCAAATTATTATTATTATTATTTTAAACGGGTCAATTTTAATTAAAATTCTAATTGGGTCAAAATTGAAATTTTACGGTTAAATCTTTTAAAAATCCAATTTTAAACCCCATTTCCAAATTCAAATTCTAAACCATTTTGAAATTTACAATATTGACCCTGGTTCAAATTACAAACAGAACCTCCCAATTTTCCAAATTGTTGAAAGGACCTCCTTTAAAAATTGCAAATTGACCTTTGAATGATTATTGCAACAGGGGCTTGAAACTTATTAATTGCAATTGGAGCCCCATCTCCCTCTTCGGCCCGTTTTCTCTTAGAAACCCAATTTTTTTTATATGCCATCGGTGGCAATCGACGTCGCACACGCTGTAGCGATTTTGTTGCCAACATAGCTACCACAATAGCAACGATGGTCGGCGCTTCGCAGGCAGGCTATAACGACTCAATAACACCCCCGGCGTTGCAACAGAGCGTAGAAGCGGCACATTGCAGTCGCGACGAAACCATGCGCTACTATCGCTTCGGGGATCGCTAGTTACTGTTTGTCGGGTCTTTGCTTCAACGACGGCCAGTTGCCACTGATTGTAATTTTTTTTAAGAGAAGAAACTGCCATAATAAACAGAACGCACCAAGACGATTGGCTAGGTTATGAAAAATTATGAGACATTGGATAAGAAGAGCTCAATAATAAATATATATTTATGGTTTATCTAGCATAAGTTATAAAGAGATTTCACCGAAAAAATCCTCACAATGTGTTAACCATTGACAGCAGGAATTGAGAAAGTTGTCATTTTTTATTTTTGTTTTTGTTTTTTTTAAGGAATTTGAATTTAGCATATTAGCTCTGATACCAATTGTTATATTTAACGATAATCACGCTAAAAAACAAGAATCATAAAATTATAAATTGATAAATTGAATTCATACATGTGGAAGACATTTTGAATATGAATAATAGTAGTTAGATCATTTCCTCTTTGTACCTTACAAAGTATTAGCCGTCTATGAGGCAAGCTAATAGAACGATTTGGAGAGAAGAGGAGACCTAACCTTTATATAGAAAATTATTGAATCGTCTCATTAAGATTTAAACTTTAATTAGGGTTTATATATAGGAAAAAATTCATAATCCAGATGTATTATTTTCCCCAATAAAAAATCAGGCAGATAATTTGAAAATTCAAAATTCATGTATATATTTAATTAATTAAAAATATTTATTAAATAAATATAATAAAGTCACAATTATACGATTAATAGTTATAGATTCATAATTATAGATCACAAATTTATTTACTGATCACGTATTATCAAATTAATTGGTCACAGATTATTTCGTAGTCACAAATATAATTTTTTGTAGGTCACAGATTATTTCGATACTACAAATCATTCAAATTACATGTTACATTTATCCATGGGTCACATATTTTCAAATTTATTAGTCACATATTATTTTTTTAGTCACAGATTGTCAAATTTTAATGTCACATAATTAGCCCAAATAGTAGGTCATATGTACCAAACATCCCCATCACGAGTCCTGATCCAACACTAATCTTGGTTACAAATTACCACCACACAACCACCGCTTGAACCACACCACCGCAACCTTACCACCACCGTTGCAGCTCAAAATTAGCACCACAATCACCATCGCAACCTCACTGTCAAAGCCAGCACCACCACTACTAGCAAAACACACCACCAAAACTACTCTACGACCACCACAAAATCAAATTCATGGCAGCGCACAGCTCACGGCTCATCGCATCCATGGCACATACCCTTACCAAAATCGCCATCCTACCTAATCCCCTGCACCACCATCACCGACACTACCCACATCCATGCTGCACAAAGAAGCTACTGCAGCGTCGCCACCACATTACTATTGTCGATTGCCACCGCCACCATTAACATCCCACCAGTAACTCCAACTAAACCCATCGTAGATTCCCATTGCTGCTAGATTGAAAACTCCAAAAAACATAAAAAGTGCAGATCGGACTGTAGCTTTGCGTTGTTGTGAAAACGTCGCCTACCCCACCAGGTACCGATGCATCTCCTTCGTGCCGATTGCAGTGTTTGAATGGGTCGTTGCGTCGAAAAGAGAGAAGGTAGAGACGGGCCCAAACTACTATCTACAAATCGAAAAAGAGAAAGAGGACTGCAACTTCGCGACACTGCGTTCACAAACAGCGTCTCCCTCCACGTCAATGTCGGCATCGGCGCATCTTCTTCATCACCGTTGCAGTGTTTGAATGGGTCTTCAGCTCGAGAATAGAGAAGTTAGCGTCGAGAAGAGAGAATGAAGGGACGGGATTGAAAATGGGTGAAATAATTAGGGTTTTTAACTGAACTAGGTGGATTAATTATATATAATACCTGATTTGTGAATAATAAAACTTTGTACCTGATTTTTAATTGTAATTTTTAAAACTTTGTACCTGATTTTTAATTGTAATTTTTAAAGACTTGCTATTATGTAATTTCCACTTTTATATCTTTCCGACCCACATATTTAAAATTATCATATCATATAAAATATATCACATGAAATGTAAATCATTATGAGCCATACATCTAACTCGAAAAATTTCCAATCAAATGAAATCCCATATTAAAATTATTTCAATAGAGGATGAACACAATTACGGACACCGCATTAGCATATTCCTAAGAGAATGTACGCTTTGCAAATTCTAATGCGCAATTTATTTCTCGGGCCATCCGTCCTCCAATTACAATTAAATGTAGAACCCACATAAGTCTACCGCATAGTCAGCGGATACTTTCGTTTCAACTCCCTGAGGGTGTTTTTCTTTCATTGGATCAGTAGAAGGAAAGAGTGAGCGAAACGAACTAAAATGGGGTCAATCGCAAAGAATGGATTAGAACAGTATTTGATACAACTCCAACAACACCCTTTGAGAACCAAGGTCTTAACCTTCTTGTAATGTTATTTTTTTTAAATAATTTTTGTATTCATGGGCTTGATTGTTTCTGGGTATTTAGGAATTTTAATTATTCAAGAAATATTGAATTCGGATTTTGCAGATGATAACTGCAGGAACGCTGTCAGCGATCAGTGATATAGTGGCGCAGAAGCTCTCTGGTATTCAAAAGCTTCAACTCAGACGCCTTCTTCTCAAAGTGGTAATGTTATACATTTTTCTCCTTTCTTTATTTATGTATAATTAAACTGCAGACATATATGTTGGCATATTACACAGCAGTTTCTACTGTATTGAGGGTTGAATCCATGATTTCTGCCCCCCAATCTTATTTGTCTAAATTTTTTTGATTTGATCCCATTCTTTCTTGTGAATTGTCTTTCCTGAAAATAACACTCTAATTGTTTTCCCCTTGTGTACTAATTTTATATGTGAATAATTTTCTGTATTGGCATAGATTGAAAGGCTTGATTAAGTAAGTAATCCAAAGCCTAGACAGTAGAGTAGAGTAGATTTGAACATATTTTTGTTCTTTAATACTGTTCAGTCTGTATGAATCCTAAATTCCATGATTGTTGTGTGAAAGGTGGGGGTAGGTAACATAAATTTAAGGGGTAATAAGTTAATAAATTTATTAGAGATTTATTCATGATAAGATAAGGTCTCTAATAACTCGTTAAGGGGAGTCTCTGTAATTTCTAGAAGAGAAGAAGCCCCTTATAATTGTAGATATGCTATCAATTTTCAAGAGTCATATTAGATCAATTGTCGGTTTGCAAAAAATTGATGTCTAACCCACTTTTCTTTTATTGAAATCTCATTGAAACAGAAACGAATTAGAGTGTCCAGTGACTCTGCTCAGTAGGAAGAACGAAAAGAAATTGCAAAGTAACATATTCTTTTTGGCCACATTGGCAAAACACGTGCAATTAGAAACACTAAAATTTGGGAGGAAAGAAAAGAACATCCTTTAACTGCATCTTCTTTCAATTCCATATTCTTCCAACCAAAAGAAACTAACAGGTAGATGCTTTTACTAGATTTTGTTTTCCTCTTCCTTCCTTTTCTTCTTTCACTTGATATAATAGCGTCGATATCTATAAGAATGTTTACCTCCTCTGTAAATGAGAATTGTGCTGAGCATGATGATTTTTTCCCCCCCACAAATCATAACTCATCATAAGTATGGCTTTTAGGGCTGTGTCGGCCACACAGTTGATAAAAAGAACGATTATATGCTTTACCATGTATTGTACCCCACCTCCTCTAAAAGTATAAGCTTTTAAGCTTTTAGATAGGGAACAACATTTAAATTCATTTTCAGCACACCCCTTCATGTGCTGCCAAGATTCATTTCTGCATTAAAGGTCTTACATGCGCACAATTTTCATAAATGAGTGACAAAAAAATTTGAATTTTAGACCCTCCTCTTTTGTGATACCATGTCAAACTGTTTCACCTTAAGGTTCAAGATTTTAGAGAGGAAAAAGTTCTTATTTAAAAAAATTTCTTCTAACACTATGAAACTAAGTTTTACACATACTTGATAACTTTTACCTAAATGCAGATTTTTGGTGCTGCCTATCTGGGACCATTTGGGCATTTTTTTCACATTTTTCTCGACAAGATTTTTAAAGGGAAGAAGGATACAAAAACTGTTGCCAAGAAGGTACTCCACACACCCCTGTTCTCTGATACTTTCTGTCATCACTTGCTGCTTTTTTATTTTCGTATTTTGGCATCTTCCTTGTCAAAAGAAGGTCCTGTATTCACACGGGTAAAATAATTAGATTGAGAAAAAGCTAGAATTATCATTTAAATGCAATAGTATATTATTTCAGGTGGTACTGGAGCAACTGACTTCTTCGCCTTGGAACAATATGTTTTTCATGATTTACTATGGGTTTGTTGTTGAGGGTGAGTCTTTCTTGCACCTTCTCAACCTGTAAATTATATCAGCCAATTATGAACAATAAACAAAAATGGAGAAAAGTAGGTTCTTTTCTGGACAATCTTAGTCATTGTTTCCACTTTCTTGAAAATCACATTGTTCGAGAATTACACTTATATGGCGAAATATTTATAATCTGTATCATGATTAATTCCTGATTTTGTATTCTGGAGCAAGGTTCAATATCTTATTTCTGGTTTCGTCTTCAGTAGCTGTCATTGAAGCTTTGTTGTAATTAGTTATCCCTCGAATTATTATTGAATTTTGTTTGGAATAAGCATATAAGTTTTTTCACTTAACTGTTTTCAGTTAAATCTGACCTAAATAGAATAACAAGACAAATGGATTTTGCTTACTCTACTATTACAATATGAACAGGAAGACCCTGGATCCATGTGAAATCCAAAATAGAGAAGGAATATCCCACTGTGCAGTATACATCATGGACAGTACGTGATATAATCTCATTTTACCTTTCGTGCTTAAAAGTTGTCGCCCTGTGATCGAGTAAGGAGGAAAAAAATGTGACTATTATATTGGATGAATAATTTGCAGTTCTGGCCAGTTGTTGGATGGGTAAATCACCAATATGTACCACTTCAGTTCCGGGTTATAGTCCAAAGTGTTGTTGCATGTTTCTGGTATGTTGTTTTCTCCCACTTGGAATTTTTCATGTTACATTCTAGAGAACAAGTTTATCCTTGATTTCACTTCTATTACGACTAGAGTAACTTTGGATTTGCAATATCAGTTTTTATTTCATTCCTTTCATTGATTTTCCAGGGGAATATTTTTGAACCTGCGAGCAAGGTCTATGCCGCTAAAAAAAGGTTAATGAAGTCGTGAGAAAGGAATTTGCAACAAGTACGATTATGTAGTCTCTGGACACTTGACTTTGCCTCTCTTAACTTGTATTTTTCTTGAGCAGTTTAGACGTAAAATCTGAATGTCGATGGTATTGCGTATCTGTAAGCACTTTATTATGCCGAACTATTTATTTATCCAAGCTGTGGTAGTAATGGCTTTTTCAAGAATAGTCTTTTTTATTTTTTGCCTCAGAAAAGAAATGGTCCTATAATTTGCAATAGTTTGGCCTTCAGGGATTGAATTTATGTCCTGATGATATTCAATTTGTCACTGTCCATGATGTGAAAAGGGTAAAACCAATAAAGTTACTTTTAAGCAACTTATTTCGTCGATGGTTTTAGAAGTTACTCTTTGATTTTTAGTTCTTTTTTAAAAGTAAATTTACTTTGGACAAAAGTATGTTTACTCTTTTTAGGCCCAACCAAACATGATCTGGAGTTGTCACACTAGCATTCACCTGACTATTGCAATCCAAATGAAGCATTCCTCTTCTTAGTCAAGGATTCTTTTTATTTTAAAAAGAAGTATAAACCAAGTAATCTATAATATATTAAGAGTCCCATACCTTCTGATATAAAAAAATTATAAGTAGATGAGAATCATTTTGTGGATAATTTCATCAAGATTATATTTTCTATTTCAATAGTACTTTTTTAGTTTTGATTTTATTATTCAACTTCGTGCATTGATTTTTCATAGATATAGTCATTGATCAGTCATTGTATTTACATGACACATTGATGTTTTCAATGTCGTGTGTCTGAGGAAAGGAGAACATAAATACAATTTTATTGAGATTTATGTAAAAGGTTCTTATAAGTTAAACTCCCTATAAATTGCCATAGTTAATTTTCCATGAAATGAAGTACAGGCAACATTTGAAAGCATTTTCAGAGGGCGTATCTTTTGCAAAGGAGAATTCTCTTCCTATAGGTGAGGGTGACAAGAGAGTAGCAACGAGCTTCATACGCTTCAAAGCATGACATCTAAATAAGAGCAAGAGGATTACAAAAAAAATCTTTCAATTCTAGAAGCTAAAAAAGGTACGAGGATTGCAATGAGAATAAAGAAACACGACATGGGAAGAGGGGAGTACAGCCATTGAATCCAAAAGATGTAAAATTATAATTTGGTGAAATTATTGACTTAAATAATATATAAACACAATTTTATTGAGGTTTATGTAAAAGGTTCTCATAATCGCTATAAATTGTTAGTTAATTTTTCGAGAAATTAGAGATGGGTGACATTTGAAAGAATTTTCAGATGGCGTATCTTTTGTTGCGGGGAACTCTCTACCTATAGGAGAGAGGGTGACAAAAGAGTAGTGACGAGCTTCATGATGTCAAGATAAGAGTAAGAAGATTACGGAAAATTTCTTTCAATTCTAGAAGCTAAAAATGGTACGAGAATGGACATGGGAAGAAGGGAATGCAATCATTGAATCTAAAAGATGTATCTGGTTTCCCAGGTCATGGGAGAGGGATAACAAGGAAAACTAGCATTTTAACTAGTCTTTCAAATTCTTTAAAAAATAACGTGCATTGATTGTTAACTAGTGTAAGAGTAATGCTATGTAGTCTCGCTAGGGTTGCAACACTAGGTTTGGTGGCACTTGATGATATATTGAATGAAATGTGAAATTAAATGAATTATTTAAATTGTAACTATCAATTAATGTCACAATAGCGTCACCTAAATTGAGGTTGCAATTCCAGTGAGGTTAAATAGCACTACTTCTAGTGTAAAGGAAATAAATTTGGGTACTTGTTAGGTTGGCCCACGTGTTTTCAACATCTTTATTGGGCTAGTACCTTGAAAGAAGGTCAGTCGAACTGATTTATAGAAGACGTCCACAAGGAAAAGCTTTAAAGACTGAATAAGCCACCTTCTCTGGTCCATATACTTCAATCGCCATAATTTAACATGTGCTAAATGTGAGAGCATAATCCTGGCAGCTTGGCTCCGTCAACTACGATCTGTCAACAAGGAAAAACTTCTACAATACTTCTACAACGAACCTCCAAATCTAGAAAGAAATTTGAAAATTATAAGACAAGGTTCAGGCTTAGTCATTGATAAGCTATATCATGTGCTGAAACAATTATGGTTCATCTGGATTTCATGTTATACAGAAGGACTCCATCGCAATTCACATGCCCACATTTCTTAGCCACCGAGGCACAATTGAGTGAAAAGATGAGACTCTCCTTTGCAACGTAGCACGAGGAAGCCTTGGTCATCAGCACGACTAGAGACCTCAATTTGATATCAAATATAGATATGAATCTCAGTGTGAATTCAGGCAAAGTCAACCTGAATTTTAATGTGCTAAACCTGTATGTGCACTAGATAAATTGTTGGACAAGTTATAAAGCACAAATATCAAACTAGGACTTAATCATGCTTCCAAAACAATGATGATAGAATATCAACTCACAAAAGACTAAAAAGCCTATAAATAAGCTCATGTGCAATGGGAAATTAATTATGATACACGAACAGGCTAAAAAACAAGTTCAAAAATAGGGTGCACACATGTTAATACATGATTGGATTGTCTGAAAAATAAAAATAATAAACACCCAATCATCTACTGTCAAGTTGGCTTTTTTCCCATCTTTGAGATTGGACAAACATCATATTCCATGGAAAAAATGATGAAAGACTCTAAAATATTGTGTCGAATTGAAACATCATCCCCAATCAGCTCTCTTGAAAATTGAAATAGTATCTTCAATCTAGAAACATTTTCTTGCCAAGAAAATCTGAATCTGAACCTCTTGCTTTCTTTACAAAATTTGGCTTCCAAAACAAATTTAAAATCCCCAAAGAGAGGAAAAATTGTGCCCGAGTCATGGGATTTTTATGATTATTATTAGCTCATTGCGAGTCATGAGATCCCTTGTTTTCGTTAAATGTATACAATAAGTTAGGCTTTTTTTTGCCAATATGCATTAAACAAACATATACAATGAATAAAAAAATAAATATAAATGAGAGAATTTCAACGTTTTCACATTAGACTATGGATCCATTTCAAAATTTAACGATAAACATAAACATAAAAGAAAAAAAATTAGGAATCATTCACAGTTCTACTCCTAATTTTAACTAATTAATCCTATTATGCTTGGCCATATGTCGTCAATACTATTTGGACTAATTTAAGCCATTATAATTTTACTTGAAATATGTTGTTGAAGAATAGTCAAATGTTTAATGATTCAGATCTATCTTATTACTTATTTGCCCCTTTGGCTGTTTCGAAAATTTTTGGAGTTCCCTGAGGTGAAAAAGTCAAATTCTAGCAGCCAAAATCAAGAGACTGTGAGACCGAAAAGATGAAGAAACGGTCCTTTGACCAATTCAAATCCCCTTCACAATTCTGTATATATATGCAACAATAAATGTAATCTCTTCATTCAAAACCCAAGAATAGAATTATCATAGTAACATACCCACAGAGTAAAAAGCTCATCAAGAAAAGATTATATTATCGTAAAAGAAGAAAAACATGGCAACCCTTCAGAATTCAAGCATCGTGTGTTCATCCAGTTCTTCTTCTTCTTCCTGGGATCGCAGAAGAGGAATCGTTCGGGCAACCTTAAACGTTCCGAGGAGAACGAAAAACATTTCTCTTTCGGGGCTACGGTCAAAGGGAATTGTGGAGGAACTGGAGTTACCCGATTTCACTGACAGAAAACTTAGTCCTATCAATATCAATACGTTCAAAAGAAATGACAATAACTGTCATGATCCATTGGTAATCGCCAAACTTTATGCAATCCTCGAGGCAGTTGCAGATAGGGTGGAGATGCACAAGAATATTGGGGAGCAAAGAAACAATTGGAACAGCCTGCTTTTGACATCCATCAATGCACTCACTCTTGCGGCGGCAGCTATGACAGGAATGGCCGCCACGAGTGCGATCGGCGGTGGTGCTCCGGTGGCGGCACTAAAGCTTTCTTCCACCCTCATGTATCTTTCGGCAACTTGGATGCTAACGATAATAAACAAGATTCAGCCATCTCAGCTTGTGGAGGAACAAAGAAATGCAGCTAGGTTGTTCAAACAACTTCATAATCAGATTCAAACAATTATAGAAATGGGTAATCCTGCAACTAGTGATGTGAAGGAAATGATGGAGAAAGTTTTGGCTCTTGACAAGGCCTACCCCCTTCCTCTTCTCGGTGCAATGCTCAAGAAATTCCCCGCGAACGTAGAGCCTGCAATGTGGTGGCCAGAGCAGCGCCGGAGGCAGGCGAAAGGCCTCGATGGGAAGAAAGGTTGGAATGGTTGGAATGGGAAGTTGGAGGAGGAAATGAGAGAAATAATTGGTGTTATAAGAAAGAAAGACAAAGCAGACTACTTGAGGTTAGGAGGAAAAGCCTTGAAATTGAACAAATTTCTAGCCATTAGTGGTCCTGTGCTAACAGGATTAGCAGCACTTGGCTCCGCTTTTGTTGGGTCTCCTAATCATGGCTCTTGGGCAGTGGTGCTCGGAGTTGTTGCTGGTGCTTTAGCAAGTGTTGTAAATACATTTGAGCAAGGCATGCAAGTCGGAATGGTGTTCGAGATGTACCGGAGCAACGCCGGATTCTTTGAGCTGATGGAAGAGTCCATGGAATCGAACTTGATTGAAAAAGATACGGGGAGAAGAGAAAATGGAGAATTGTTTGAAATGAAGGTGGCATTACAGTTGGGAAGGAGCCTATCGCAGCTTAGAGATCTTGCAACTTCTTCTTCCTGCAAAGAAGAGGAGGAAATTGAAGAGTTTGCAAGCAAACTTTTTTGATGATGATGAGCTTGTTTGGATATTAATTGTTTTGTGGATATAAGACATGTAAATGTTAACGCTAACATAATATTAATTTGTAAATTTCTTGACAGACAAAATTCTACAGAGGATTTTATATATATCAAGTTTAATAATCAACTCCAAAACTCAGTCTGTGTGTGGAATAAATTTAACTTAAGAGCCGATAATTACTTAGAGTTGATTATTATATATTTTATATTCAAATCATAACAAGAGCTAATTGTTTATTCTTTATGAAAATAACAAGAAATAAAACTTTGAGAGGGTGACATTTGACCTAACTTTAAGACGATATGGATATTAGGAAGCTTAAGATTTAGTTTCTGTTTGGTGGGGATTGAAATTAGATTTATGGTATATTTTGATAAAAGTCGATAAAATATGTGGTTGAAAATCCG